TTCCGCAGAAGAAAAGGAAGGATCGAGAAGAATGGAAAATTCCCGATTTAAGTCAAATCTGGGCAAAATGGAAAGATCGGATTGCCAAGACAAGGAGTATATAAAGAGGAGGTCTAGGGCAGAAGCAAAGGACACGAAATTCAGAGCTCTCACCACCAAAACTAGCATTTAGGAATCTTTCCGTTTTTCTGTTAGCGAGCTGCGTCTCAATTAGGGTTTTCTAAGTTCTTACGTTTACGGCTACTCTTTTTGTAACCAGTTCAACGCAGATTCGGAATAAGAACCTTCTTGCTTTCAAATCTCTCTTATTTTCGTTTTTACTCTAAGTTATCGTTTTCTTATTTTCGTTGTGCGGTTCTCGCAGATAGCCGGTTCCTCTGGAAACTTAGGGTTTTTCCCGAAGTTTCCTTATTTACGATTTATTTGACAGTAGGGTGAAATCGACTCCCACAATGCAAATCCATGAGTTGGAAGAAATGAGACATCTCGCCTATGAGAGTTCGAAAATCTACAAGGAGCGTACAAAGGCCTATCATGATAAGCGAATCATCAGAAGGGACTTTAAACCAAAAGATCAGGTGCTCCTTTTCAACTCCAGATTGAAATTGTTCCTGGTAAGCTACGATCAAGATGGTCCGGGCCATTCACCATCACGGAGGTTCGCCCTTATGGAACTATTGTGCTATTGGACACAAGAGGCGAAGAATTTGTTGTCAATGGTCAACGTCTCAAACCCTATCTTGCTAAGACAACCGTCGCAGAAGGTGAAGAAATTCCCCTTCGCGATCGTGCTCTAGCCTAACAAGCTAGCATAATCAAGCTAAAGGCTTAAGGCAAGCGCTTGGTGGGAGGCAACCCACTGGTAAGTGTAAATATTTTCCTTTCAGTCATTTGGTTTTTGGCTTTCTTTCATGTTTTTGAAGAATAAAATCAGAAAATCCCAAGTTACTTCCAGCAGCACTGTTGTTCCACCATTGGAGCAGCTGCTCCGCCCAGGTAAGTCTCATGGGAACCAAACAAAAAAAAATAATAAAAAAATTTAAAATAATAAAAAATATGGGGAAGTGGAGGCGAAAGCCCTAATTTTTAGGGAGTGGCCACGATGTGGGTTCTATTTAAGAACCACTCTCTCCTATTCCCCATCACTTTCACTTCCGCCCCTTTTCACCACCAAGAACCCTAGAATTTTCTCCTTCAAAATTTCAATCTCTTGTTAAGAATTCCGGTTCTTGCTCGTGGTGATTACCCTTCTCTTTGAGATTTTTGCAGGTTCCTCTCCCTACTCGAAAGGTAAGTGGCGCCATCACTTGTGATTCCCGGCCCCAATCAACTTTCTTTTTTCTACTTTGATAGATCGATTTTAGGGTTTTTCCCTTGAACAAAATCGACCACTCCTCTTGCTGTTAGGATTGTTTAAGGATTATGAGTTGTGTTTGGTTGAACCGTTTGGAATTCTAGGATAGTTGGGAACAATCGATCTCAATAAGGCATGCATGCCTCCTGTTTTTGCTTTCATCATATCGGTTATTGTCCTTGTTGATTTTCTTGTGGGATACTAGGCGAAGTTCAGAGGATATCGAATCTAATTGAAATCCCAAATTTTTCCTATCTATCCCATTAGAATGGTGCTAACTACTCTCCTTTCACCTGTTCTTGCAGATGCCACCGAGGAGAACCAAGGCGAGCGCCAAAGCCACTCTGAACCTCCAAGACGATCCATCTCCCGATTTCATATCGCCTACATATCCATGGCCACGCATGGAGAACACAGAGATCCCTCTTTCCGATCCCAACATCCCCGACTCCTCTGAAGACCGGTGGGACATCAGCGCTTCTCGCCGTTACAATGATCTCCTACGCGTCCATATTCTTCCAATGCGTTTTGTCATTGCTATGGACTTGCAAGTTCTTGATCTCCAGGAGGATTTACATGGCGCTTTACATGCAATGGGAATAGCCGATCTCTGCTACATTTCTCACCACCTCTACCTTGATCTGGTGAGACAAGTACTCGCCACCGCGACACTCACCTTCTCCAGGCTCGATTATCCATGTTTCGGAGAAGCTTCTTTCACTTTCTTCGCTGATGGTGTCAAGCGCTCCATACCTTTAGCCACAATTGCAGAGATCTATGACATGTCCGAGGAGTACACTGGCATCTCTTTCCCAAAGAACGCATTAGCGGAATTAATGGGCCCGATTTTGGTTCTAACAGTATCCATCAGGTCCTGGGCTCTTACTAAGCGGAATGGAAAACACAGTCTTAGTTACTTCCTCAGATGTTACTTCTTTCTGAATTTCCATTCTTTGTTATTCATTGCAATGAAACGGTAATCGAGAACAAAGCTCCTTCACAGTACATGGTGATTCAGCCATGTTAGTTGATCCAAGAATACCTTCAAAGTAATCTGCAGTGTGATGTTTAATCTCATCAGTTGTGGCTATAAGGTGGTCATCAGAGTCCCTGAGATAATGAATATGGTTCCTAGTTGCTCTCTTGACCACAGTTCTGTGGTAAAATGCAGTGTCTCTGTCCCCAAGGTTGTTCCACTGAACTCTGGATTTCGGACTGTAAAATTTCACCTCAGCTTTAGCAAGAGTATTCCATTTAGCCCTCTCTTCATGCTCTTGCCTAGCTGTTGCTAAATCAGGAGCCGATAGGAGTTGCCGCTGAATAGCCGTGACCTTAGCCGCCCGATCTTTAACTCTTTGAGAGATTCTGCTCTAATGAGTAGATTTAAGTTTGTGAAGTACCTTTTTTATCATCTTCAAAGACCGAGGAAGTTTAAATTGCATTGATCCCACAATATATTCACAATCCCATGCTTCTTTAACCGAATTTAGGTATTCCGGATAATCAATCACATGATGGAAGAATTTAAAGGGTTTTTTTACCCTTCTAGAGATCGATGGCATCTGGAATAAGCATGGAGCATCGTCTGACTTCTGCGGTTCAAGAAATTCACAAAAAATCCTGATAATTTCTGCGCCCATGCTTGGTTAATGAGAGTATGATCGATCGTTTTCGCTATGGGATTATCATTTTGATTATTCCACCAGGTGAAATTCAGACCGTTGGATTTTGCTTCAAACAAGTCAGCATCTTGTAGAGCTAGATTGAAATCCTCCATACCAGTTGTGTCTACCTCCTCTGAGAGATGATTGGAGTGCTGATCTGTTCTCAATATCTGATTAAAATCCCCTACTACTTCCCAAGGTAATCGTGCAAGAGGAGTGGTGCTGTTGAGATGGGCCAGTTCGTTACAAAGTTCTTGCATGTCTTCAGCAAGATTCTTGGCATAGAAAAATGTGACTTTGAAGTTGACATTCTCAGCCAGGATAAATATTCCACAAGTAATTTCCTGTGACGATGCTTGGTAGACTGTAACTGTTACACTCGGGTGCCAGACAACAATGATATGGGTGTTATGATATACCATGGTTTTGACCCACTTTTGACCATGGTATTTATATGATTTTATAATATATTTATATGTTTTGGAGTCTATTAGGTATGTTTTCAGGTTAAGGAGCATTTTGGAGTAAAGTGACGATTTAGGTACCCTTATGGACTTAAATGAGAGATTTCCCGAGATGACTATAAAGATCATACAATAAGGTCGATATCTAGAGATACATATCGATCGATACACATCCTATGTAATCGATCGACGACGCTTCCGAAGAGGATGACGAATTAAGATACTTCATTGATCGATGTACACCATGTACCATCGATTGATATGAGGCGTGAAGAACAAGTTTGACTCGGCCTTGAAGCCCAAGTTCTCTCAATATTACAAGATATCCCCTGACGAGTTTTTTAACCTAATGGAACTCATATTTATAGTTTTGCCTATGTGTTTTGGCTAGACATGCTTTTCATACCTAGTGCTTTTTGTACTTCAAAATCTTTACATGCTTTTTATGTTCTTTGATTTATAAAAGTATTCTTTTCATCTTATTCTCATTTTCATAAAGGTTATAGAATTCTAGATTTAGCAGAAACACACAAAGAGATTTGTTGTTCAAAGAACCAAGAGTTCAATCTTCTAATCTAATGAATATCTATTATTACCTTGCTGCTATGAATCACTTAGCCATGTCTGAGTAGATTCACTTGTTAGATTTAGGGTTCAAATAGTTATGAGGGATTAGCCCCAACTATGGATTATTGAGTTGTGATATTCATTATCCTGATGAACCCTAATGCTTACTCTAGAGTATCTAACTAGAGTATGATCATGGAATGATTTAACTTGTTAATCATCATCCTGAAATCATCTGGTATAAGCTGAGATCCTCTAGGGACGATGCGAGAGCCGGTTTATGATCTTGGTGAACACATATTCAGTTCAATCTGAAGCTATATCGATCGATACTCCTATAGAGTAATCGATCGACGGCTACCTATATCGTCCTATATGGCGATCATACCATCGGTCGATATTACCGACAGTCAGATCAATGGACGAGTCTAATAGCGATAGCTATAGATTTATCTAAGAATTGAAGTTCTTTAATATCTTGCAAGCAACTTATAAAGACATCTACAGCATTATAATCCTGATTATCTGAATAGTAACCTTGAATCTAACTACTTTATTTTATTATTTAAAACCTAAACCAAACTATCTTGAGCAACTCACCATTGCTCACAACTGCAATTTACTTTTAAACAATAGTCAACCTAGCATAATCACTTAGGATTATATCTTTTGTGTTCCTTAGTTCCTTGTGGATTCGATCCCTAAGTACTACAATTGAACCTCTTATTTGAGAGAGTAATTCACTCCTTAGGGTAATTTGAGTGATATCATGTTATCATGAAGCTCCGAGTTAAATAAATACTTCCAGCCAAAATGAATGGCGCTGCTTATTCTTCTACAATTTTTGGGTTGTATCCGAGTTTCTAAATATGCTCCAAAAGCGGGTCTATGAATATTAATCTAATCTTTGACCATGGTGTGGTGTTTATCGCTGTTCATGGCTCTTACATTTCACGCAAAAACATTATACATGTTGGTATTAAGCTTTGGTAACCTTACGCTACCCTTCCTGTTGGAGACCGGGAAGAAAGGTAACTCTGAATCCTTTCCCGCACTCCCTTCAGCAGAGGAAGATCCATCGTCTTCATGATAAACATGAACCATAAAATAGCCCGAGTGCCGATCAAGTGAGATAACCTGCTTCGTATTAGGAGAGGATGCTACCTCCTTAGTATCAACAGGAGCTGAAGTATTCATTGTTTCTGAGACAATATCCATCTCTACCTCAAGAGGAATCTCACAGTCTCCAGTGGTATCAGTGACCTCATCAACCTCAGTGACCTCGGTGACTTTGGTACTAACTTGTTGTTCCTGAAGGCTATTTTCTCTGGTGTTGGCGGTCTTGATTCTTGAGCCAACTTCTGGTTAATCTTAACCTTCTCATCAGTAGCTTTAACAATAGTCTAGAGAGAGATTCCTTAGACAAGTTTGAAGCTGCCACTCTTCGTTGTCTGGTCGATCTACTAGGCATTGCGCTTCTTCTACCTTTACTCTATGTGCTTCTGGATCGACGATCTGAAGCAGCAGCAGATGAGTTCGTAGATACTCCTACCCGTCTCCAGTAGGTGGAGGATCTGGGAAAGAGAGTTTCTATGTGTCCGTACTTTCCACAAGTTTTACACTTCTGAGGAATCCAAGGGCATGACACATCTATCTCCACATTTCGGCGACATGAAAAGCCATAGACTATTTTTGTCGGTAATTCCTTTTGCAGATCGATTTTAACCCACATTTTTGCAACTTCAGAATTTTCCTTCCTTTCTGTTTCTGGTGCTAAAGAGAGAGGCTTCCCAATTTCGGAAGCAAGCCTACTTAGGCTCTGTTTGTTGAAAAGCAGATAAGGGACTCCTTTCATCTTTACCGGAACAACTGCAGTAGTTAGTTGAGGTTGTTCTGGACTAAATACGGGTGACCACATGGCGACAAACATGGGACATCCTGCTATCATCCAAGCATCTCGACTCAGAAGAATGTCCCTAGTACATGCACTAGTAACCTTTAACAAGAATGACCCATCACCAATCTTGTGGACAAAAATACGCGGTCCATTCTTTGCCCAAACAGTGTTGATTACTCCTATAATTCTGCCCACTGGTGGAGTATTGCCATGAAATCTAGCAAACAGAAAGTCTTTGAACTCTTCCTTGGCAGCTACCAAGTAGCCATCAGGAATCATAACAAAAGGAGCTCCAGATATGTGTTGTGTTGGAGTTTCCAATTCCCCAAGCTGAGCTGATACCTTAATCCTGGAAACAAAGTTTTTGCAGGTACCGGTGTGTTTGGGTGATGCAGAAGCATCTGCAGAAGTAAGATTATTGACGGGCTGTGCTGCTGCTTCGTCGGTCGTAGTGTTGCGAAGATATTTTCGACACTATATTTAGTTTCCACAGTGCTGGAGGGTGAACCTACAACAACAAAAAATTCTGAGATGGAAGGCAAGGAGGATGCTCTAGGCGATATAACTTTTCCCAGGGTCGTAACAGAGGGTTCCAAGGTAATAGACGGCGATTTCATGGGGGAGAGCCATCTTATTTCCAAGAGCGAGACGAACAAATTTCGAGGATGAGAAGAGGAAGAGAGCCCCAGGCTTTTTCTTCTTCCCCATTGGGGGAGGGAATAAGATCGAGACAGTGAGATTAAGAAACTATTTTGTAAGAAGAGGGGAGGTTAGAGAGTACACAACAGAGGCGTGAGGCCTGAGCCGTCGGAGCGAAGAGGGAAAGAAAACCCTAATCGCCTTTCGAGTCATTCATAGAGAGAAGAGAGAAAGTTATGTGATCCGTTAACATTTTCACTAATCTGAGAATAATATCCCATGATACCGTATCAAATGTTTTTCAAATGACTACTTTCAACATAGAATTCTTGAGGCATGAAGATTTGTTATAATTCCGAATCAGTTTTCTGCCAACTATTTTCAGTAGGATAAACGTTTTATCAATTATAATTTTCAACTATTGAAACATTCAAAATTTTAAAACTTGAAAATTGACATGATAGAATAATGCTGTCAGGCAATATATTATATGGAAATTTGCTAATAAAGGATTAAAAACTAAACTATTGTCCCCTTAGAACAAAATCAAATTTTGTCACTTTTGTACTTTCACTAGCCTTTTTGTATATAAAAATTCGTATAAATAAATTTATAACGCAAAAAATTTGGGAAAAATATAAAACATGAAGTAGATAAGCATGTGCATATATGAAAAATATTTTGGATTCAAAAAAATGTTTTTGGAATAGTAAGTTCAAAAGATAGGATAAATGGGTTGGTAAATCAGATCTACCATCTACGGTGGTTTAGAGTATGCAGTCTACTAACATTACATCGATCTAAAGGACATAGAATGCGTAATACACCAAAACATCTATATCTACAATGCCATATTATGAAATCCGTCTTTTCCTGTGTTCTGAAGTTTTAGTAGAATATAACACATACAAAATAATCATGTATCTACCGTGGCAGAACATACATTCTTAAATTATATCTTCTATCTGAACCCGAGGGATACCGTATCTACTGCTTCAATTATCTAAACTTGGTAGAATGTGTGTTCTGCCACAGTTTGTGAACAAATATCCGAAAATCTAGGAAAAAACGGTTAGTGAATATTTTCTAAATCTTTTAAATATTTTATTTCTTTTTTAATGTTTTTGGCTTGAAGAAACGTCAGAAATAAGATCCTTTTTAAGTCTTATATATTTAATCTATGCAACAAAACTTGTTAGTGGTATGTGGTCCAGTGGTTGTAGTGGTTCTGATAATCGACAAGTTAACGTGATCGAGACGAAGTGAGCACTTTTATGATTTTTTTGTATTAAGTTTAATGGGTATGAAATGACAAAAATATCCTCATCTTCAACTTCAGAGTTTTGCCAATCAACAGCCAACTCTTCCCTATTTTTCATTGCGATTTCATCTTTTTTTTTTTAGTTTAACTTGTGAATTTAAACCTACTTTTAATATATCTATACTTTGTCATATGATTTATGACTCAACACTATTAAATAAGAGATTTTTTTTTCTCCGATTAACAGCCCGGGTTAGGTCAAACCGCCACGTTCTCCGCCGATTCACGCGTTTCCGGTGATTTCTCAGAAGTCATTAGATGGTTGTGGTTTCTCTTTAGCCTCTTTGATGTCATAGAAGAAGAATTCTGTTTTTTATTCCTTCTGATATTTTTACTTTAACCAAATGTTTGAGAACTCGCTAGGCATTCCTCGTACGCTCGGGTAGGGCCTACGAATAATCAGAAAATTGGTGATTAGCCGGAGATTAATCGAGGATTATTTTTAGACATTTATATACATACACAATAATATATTAAATATGCAATAATATAACAATGTTAATTTGTGGTTTAGTGGTTTACCCCCCTCTTAAAGTCTCACAGGACCGGGTTTGATTCTAGGACGAACCATTTTTTAACTTTTTTGGGGAGTTAGGTTTAATTAAACCGGAATAACAAAATTACCCCTTTCTTTAGCCTCCATGCCTACGATTTTTACAGTCACTTTTTACATTCTTTTTTCCGATTTTTTTATGTTATTGGTTGATAATTGCGATTTGAACATATATTGAACAGATCTATGATATAATATGTGATTTTGGGCTTACAACATACCAAATAATTGCTGTAAAAAAAAATTACGAGGAACTGGCCGATCAGTGCAAATCGCCACGGTTTGCCATCGCCTCACGCTTTTCCGGTGAGTTTCTGGCCGCCTGGAGTGCCTTTTCAAACAGCGCTTTAATCTAATAAACAACAAAAACATTAATTTAATTAATTTTCTTTTTAAACAAATTATAATTGTATTTTAAAAGTAATTAATGAGGATTAAACTGGATTTTCATTAATGTTTATACTATAGAGACATCGATTTAGTTTTTATTCTAAGGAGACAATACTTAATTTTTTTTTGTTCCTTATTGGTAAATTTCCTTAAATTATAATGTATTAATGATTGTTTTCGGTCAATAATGCAGTATTGATTTCAAGATGATTAAAAGTATCAAAATACTCAAGTTACTATTTTAAAATTTTATTTCCTTTTGCGGTCAACTTCTTCTTAGTATTTCCAAAATTTCAATAAAAGATTACTATTTTTCATATTAATAAAATTATTATTAATAATGTAGACTTTGGAAATGTCACGAACATTATCACATGTACGTGCGTCTACAGAAGCCATATAAATTAAATACAGTAAGACCTGTATATGTGTGTGTGTTCTTCTCAGAATACATATTTACATGATGTTCCATAAGTAAAAAATCTTTACGTGACAACTCACGATTGATTATAGAAAATATATCACCAAGAGGCAGTTTAGTGTTTTTAATTTCAAGAAAAGACACTTTCTTATACATGGACACTTATCTTTAATTGAGTAATTTTAGTTAGTCCACCATCTAACTACACCCAAACTCAATTAACCGAACTCATGCTCGCCCACAATCCTCAGCCACTCATCTTTCTTTTTTTCAATGGCTGAGATTATTCTCCCCAATTGATGACAAGACTTATATCTGCCTATTTTTAACCATTGGATACCTTTGTTTACAGTTCATCCAACGTTCCAGATTATGACAAGAGCTCATCTTCTTTAATTCTCAGTTTTTCTACATTCAACCTTTGTCGTTAGTTTTCTTGCTACAGATTTGTGAAACTGAAGTAATTAAGCACTTCTCATCATCAGGTTAGTAAAGATCCCTAACCTAACATTCTTGATTATACAATGCCTCAGATTTCTTTTCCTTTGTTG